CCAGTTTCATCTGTCTCCTTCTGCACACCTGTGTTTGTACCAGATCAGATCCCCATGACTTCTTGCATAGCAGAGTCTTCCTATCTGCACAACTTTGTAATACCCAGTAATCTGACTTACCATCAAACATGACTTACTGTTTTGTAGCACATAAGCCAGTAGTACTCATATTTTTCAACAATTATTTCTTAAGAAAAAGTCTCCCACCCTATTTCTAGAATTTCCTTTATCCTTGACATGAGATTTTTATAAAGTTATCTCTGACTTAAACTGAGCACTAATCTGAGGCATTTATAAGTACTTTCCTCTATTTTAAGTGCTGAGTCCTGCTTTGTCTCTTATCTTCCTTGGTTAGCACTCTTTCTTAAACAAACATTTGTGGTAGGGAATACTTAAGTTTGGACTAATATACAGTTACCTTGTCTTTTATCCTGTGTGATAATCTTTACTTTGGCCCTAGGAAAAATACTGGTCTTGGAGTCAGAAGAATTCTTTCAAATCTAGATTCTACTTTTTACTGACTATATGAATTCAGGCCAGTAAGTATGCATTACTTGCAAATACTCTGCACTGTGATAATTATTTGAGATAATTACAATAAAAATGACAATCTTTGTTTTCAAGGAACTCACACTTTTAAGGCATTTTGGCTTCAATTTCTTCAAGGGATTATAATGATGTGTTCAATCTAAATTTTTTACTTATTTAGTAACCATTTAACAATTGTGTTATAATATGCTTAATTACAATAACACATTAATGAAATAACCTGACATTTATAAGTGCTGAATAAATATTTGTTGTGAATTTGGTGTGCATACCTTCTTAATGTTCTAATGACATAAAGAATAGTATTTAAAGTAATGAGACAATCATCTTCTCAGGCTTAAATATCCCTCAAATATTATTTTCAAGCATATATATATATATATATATATGTAGGTGAAGCAGTCGATTTTCTGGTTGGATGGTCTAAATAAATTGCATGAAACTTCTGTTTCTCAATATGGCTATTTCTGTGTCTTCCAGTAATAAATGTTTTTGAAAAGTCTTCTCAACTTCTGATCTCTACTGATGAGAAGGGGAGTAATGTCCAGGAAAATGCTGGGAGCACTTGTTGAAGGTCAGCCTCCTGCCAGAGCAGTCTGTCACTCTGTATTATCCATCAATTTGTCTACAGACATATGTATGAGCCACACACATTCACACACCGTACATGTAAACAATAATCAGAAAGATGCCTAGAGAATTAAGGAAAGATAATTTTTCATTTAGAGTATACTTGTACAGATACTTGACTTGGGCTGACTTCTGCTAAGAAAAGAACTTTAAATATATTCAAGTGAGTGTTATTTAAAATAGCACCTAAATGCATTCCCTTAGTATTGTGTTTTTCTCAGCATAATAATAAATCTGTCATCTTAATCTGCCTTACTCTATGATTAATTACAATGCAGCTATTAGGTTAACAATGATGTTGCTAAATAAGGGGCACTAATTTACACCTAAGATTAAATGTTAAGGAAAATTATATCTTCCTTTAAGAAAATTATTGAAATATAAATATAGTACACTAATGTATGACAGTACCTTTTAGAGAACACTAAGAGAACCGTTTTTAAATAGAAAGAGAGCAGTGAGGACACATAGACCAAAAAATCCAGGATGTTATAAGATATATGAATAAAATGTAAAATAATGTGAATGCAGAGAATTCTCAATAATTAAATAGGTTAAGAGGAACTTCAAGAGGTCCTGTTAGTTTAGAATTCTGGCATGTTTCAGATTCAATGCAAGTCCATGAATTACTGGAGAAATTCAGAAGCTTCAGAGAAGGCAGAAAAAGGCAACTGTGTGTGAAGCAGTGTCTCTCATTTAGACTTTCTCCACTATTAAAAATATTATTCTTTGAGAAGCAGCGAGAGAGAGGAGAGACAGGCAGACAGACAAAGACAGAGAAGGAATTCATCTGCTGGTTCGCTCCACAAATGCCTGCAATGACCAGGGCTGAGCCAGAGCAGAGCTGGGAGCCCACAGCACAGTCCTGGTCTCCCAGATGCCTGGCAGGAACCCAGCGGCTTGAGCCATCCCTGCTGCCTCTCAGGAGCTACATCAGCAGGAAGTCGGAGTCAAGAGGCAGAGACAGGCATTGAACCCCGGCATTCTGCTGTGAGCATCTTCATTTCTAGGCTAAGTTTCTGTCTCATCCTTCACCCTTTTATTAGATAACTGAAAACATTTATTTGGCTAATTGTTGGCATTTGGAAACCAATTTGTTCACCAAGTGTCATTAACCTTTGTCTAAATCAGAGGTTGGTTGGCGAACTAACTAGAGGCCTCCTTAATACTTTTGACTTTATTGGCAGACAGCTTCTGTCACAGCCACTCTGCTCCCCTGTTGTAGAGAAAATGCAGCTTTAGTCAACACAAGCAGGTGGATGTGAATGTGTTCCAGGGAAACTTTGATCACAGGAGGAGTACTTGACCACTGCTCTAAATACCAAAAAGTATACATTAAAAGTTATGCTAACTCCTTAGTGCTATTGTTACTTTCTCAGTGGAATTCCTGTGTTGGAGAGACTTAGAGTTTTAGGTTTTTGTTTGTTTGTTTTCTTGACAGGCAGAGTTAGACAGTGAGAGAGAGAGAGAGACAGAGAGAAAGGTCTTCCTTTTGTTGGTTCATTCCCCAAATGGCCGCTACAGCCAGTGCGCTGCGCCGATCCGAAGCCAGGAGCCAGGTGCTTCTCCTCGTCTCCCATGCGGGTGCAGGGCCCAAGCACTTGGGCCATCCTCCACTGCCTTCCCGGGCTACAGCAGGGAGCTGGACTGGAAGAGGAGCAACCAGGACAGAAGCTGGTGCTCCTACCAGGACTAGAACCCGGGGTGCTGACGCCACAGGCGGAGGATTAGCCTAGTGAGCTGCCGTGCCGGCCAGAGTTTTAGGTTTTTAAACTGAATTTCGAATAAGTTAGAAAAGGTGGTCTCTTCCTTACTTTAGATGTCATCACTCTTGTATATAGTCCTTAAATTCAGACCAATATTTATTTAATAATTAGTATAGACTGATGACTATCCTTGATTTACTATACATTGAAGCGTCCCTGACACTGATGCTAATTCAGTGAACAAGAGTCAGACGCCTGCCTCCTGCTACATATGTCCCAGTGATGGAGAGACTCATAATATAGGTGAACATAACATATATATAAATTACACAGTATTTTTCATAGTGGTCTATGCTTTGGAGAAAGAATGAAAGTAAGGGTGGACAGTGAAGACAGGAGGAATAGGTGGGGGGAGGGTGGCAGTTTTTTTAAAAATTGTAATTAACTAATTTACTTATTTGGAAGTTAGAGTTACAGAGAAAGAGGAAGAGAGAGAGAGAGAGAGAGAGAGAGAGAGAGATCTTCCATCTGCTGGCTCACTCTACAGATGGCCACATCAGCCAGGGCAGGGCCAGGCTGAAGCTAGGAGCCAGGAGCATCTTCCAGGTCTCCCACCTGGGTGGCAGGATCCCAAACACTTGGCCATCTTCTGCTGCTTTTCCCAAGCCATTAACAAGGAGCTGGATCAGAAATGGAGCAGCTGGGGCATGAACTGGCACTCACATGGGAAGCCCATGTCATAGGCAGTGGATCTACCTGCTATGCCGTAGTGCCTGTCCCAGTAGTTTGCTTGATCAACAGGACAAACAGGGCAGATTTCACTGTGAAGGTGACTTTGGACATACTGGTAGGAGACCAGGGAGTTCTACACGCAGATGTCTTGAAGGATCATCCAGGTGGAGGAAAAATTAGAGGAAAGACCTGTGCCTGTGTGATCTGTGAACAGATGGAGCCAGTGTGGCCAGAACTCAGTGAGGGGTCAGTGAGGAGGATAGGAAGACAGAAATCAGGAGTTAGATCAGAGGCAGAGGTAGGAGTAAGGCCTTGAGAACCACTGCAAGGATTTCACATTTGCTTTGAAATAAATGGGCAGGAGGTCTGTGTGTGAGTTGGAGGGGTGGGGTGTTGGCCCCTGTAAGGCTTTAAGCAGAGAGGTCATGCAAACTGATTTATATCATCAGAGAGACAGCTTGGGGCCAGCATTGTGGTGCAACAGGTTAAATCATCGCTGTGTGTCCTTTACCCCGCAGGAATGCTGATTCCAGTCCCAGCTGCTCCGCTTCCTAGCCAGCTCCCTGCTGAGGTGCCTGGGAGGGCACAGGGGGACAACGGCCCAAAGCTTGAGCCTGTGCCATCCACATGGGAGACCAGGATGGATTTCCTGGCTCCTGGCTTCAGGCTGGCCTTGACCTGGCTGTTGAGATGATTTGCGGACTGAATCAGTGGATAGAAGCAACCTCTCCCTCTCTCTCTCCCTTTCTTCTCTCTCTCTGTCAATCTGCCTTTCAAATAAATATTTTTTTAAAAAAAAGATGACTTTTGTTTTATGGCTTTGGCCACTAACCTGGAAGCAAAACATGGCAGAGGCTCCCAGTGCATAGTGACAGGCAGCGTCCCTGGGGTTGGAGGAAGCCAGGGAGTACAACACACTCGGGGTGCCTGCGCCGTACCCTTTGGATGGGTGAAGTCCATTCTGGCTTTTCTTTTTCCCCCAGAAGTATTTCTCAGAGATCTCCAGGAATGGAGTCTTCACCTTTTTTCTGGGAATATACTTTTGCTGCAGGGACATAGGATGTTTGAGGAAAAGGTTGCCTGGTGATTCACCACTTCTCGGTCTGAGTAAACCCAGGCACACATTTTTTAAAACACACACAAAGATATCTTTGGGAAATGTATTCGGTAGCAGATCCCAGCATCCACAGTCTTCACTTACACAGATCACTTTATTTAATTTGTGCTTACTGGTAATGTGAAGTAATCAGAGTTCATATCCTTGTGAAAATTCTCCCCTGAAGGCCAATTCATTTGTAATAAAAACCACATTTTGAGCAGTGGAAGAGTGCAGCTGCTGGCACTGCTAAGATATTCTCATCTTCCCAAGCTCATTTCAGCTTTCCAAGCATTGCGTATTGTTATGAAAGAAATGTTTGCTAAATTCAGGCTTAATGGAACATGAAGCCAGTCATATGCAAGCATCGACTTATTCCTCTGCTGTCTGCGAAGTTGTGATCAAGAAAACACTTCTGCTCATTAGAGAGTTGATCAGACACAGTGCTTAGCTATTAACATTTCTCTGTTCACATGAAGCTTGCTCAGATGAAAGAGCAAAACCAACAGATTGGAAGAACTCAGCTGGGGAAACATTGTCCTAAGCATGACGCCCTCTAAGATACACAACAAACTGACTTCAAACCCATCCAGCTTTAACACCGGTTGTAGCACGTTTTAAGTCTTTTTGTGGGTATGAGATCACTTGATGCTGATGTATCAGAATCTTCATTCTATGTAAGTGTCATTCCCCTAATGTGCATGTCCTTTATGTTTTATAGAAAATCTACAGTTTCATGATTTTTCTTTATCCCCTCAGTAAATGTACACTGGAACAGAATTTAATTGATTCCATATGGAGAGTCTTCTCTGCTTTGATTTTCTTAGATGTTTTAGCAAAATAGTATTAGGTAATTTACAACATCAAGACAAACTCAAATGTCAGAACTTTCCCCCAGGATTCTCATCTCTGTATTTGCCTACATTCTCACTACCCCTTTCTGCTTGTTCTTTGTCCATTGTCATATTGGGTCTTATGCGTAATAAAACATTTAAAAGTTTATTGCTGATTTGACTAAGAATATCTATGCTGAACTTCACTGTGTGGTTTTAGAGTGATAGCTACTGAATTCAGCTTAAACTTCAGATAATTATCAGGATCTTTTTAAAGCAGTTTTGGTTTTTTTGGAACATGTCAAATACCCTTACGTGTTGGGTATCTGACTGTTTATTTTTTAGTCATTAAGAAGCATGTTTTAATAATATGTGGAGTTATACTCAACAAGGAAGCACATTAGTTCTTTTTTTCTTTTTGCCTACAGATTATGAACATACCATAACTTAAATGAACAGAAAACAACATATTTTTGACAGCAAAAATTTAAGTGCTTTTGCTTATCATGCATTATAACAAATTAGTGTTCCATTGCAAGATTTACCTGTAAGATGCCTAGCAACAAACATTAGAAAATATTTCTATTTGGAGTAACTGTTTAAAATTACTTTATTTAATATAATTCATAAAAGGAAAATTAAAAAATTACTTAAGAAAAGTGTTCATTTTATGTAGTTCTCATTTCATATTACCAATAGTTCTAGTCATTGACTAAAGAAATCTCAAACTTGAATAAAAAAAAGGGGGGAAGCGTAATACCTTGCTGAATGTGGTTCTGGCTTAAAATAATGGTTTCTTTAGATTCATGGGTAGGCTTTTAGTTAGTTTGACTGAAATTTGTGTCCAAGAATCTGCCTTTAGTCTTTTCCTTCTTATTTTTTAAAATTAATTATCATAAAGAAAACAGATTTCATGCATTTCACAGATACGACTCTAAGAATAGAACACTACTTTCCTCCTTCCCCCTTGCTTCTTTCCTTCCCTCCCCCCTTTCTTTCTATTAATTTTTTGTGATAACATGCTTTCAATGTACCTTATAATCACCTGTTCCACACGAGTATGGAACAAGGGTTACAATGATCCACTCACAATGCCCATTTCACTCAGGTACATTGAGTGTTTGCATTGATCATTGCAGCAGGCTTTCTTGCTCCTTGCTCCTGTAACACTCACTACCTCCACTGTGCATGTGAATGGCAGGGACTCCCTGTAGGAAACAGATGGCACTCTCAAACTGGTTAACTGAGGAGCAAGTGTTCAATAAGAGCTTTGTAAAAGATGAGAATAGGGCTTAAGGAAAGCAACTGGGGTGATGTGATCCAGAGAGAGCCATTACTATTCTAATTCTTGAAGGGTCAAGGTGAAGGAACTATTGTTAGCTGGATTCAGAGGGTGAGTGCTGGTTGGAGAAGGCAACATGGAAGTCTTGTGCATTGGTTGAGGATACAACTCACTCAAAGCAATCCCTAAAAGAGGGAACCAAGGAAACAAATACCATGACCTTATGCAGCTCTCCAGTTTTCCACATTTATTGAATCCAGAGTTTAAGGGAACATTTTGAAGCATTCCTTATAGGTCAGTCTCCAGGACACAAAGCGCGGTGGAGAGGATGGAGAATGGATCTCAAGAGAGAGGTGGGCATTTTACAGCACAGCTTCCAAATCAAGTTCACTGTCCACTTGGATAGTGCACAGAAATATTCAGGTAAGCTAAATGGCCCACTGGGTATTACTAGAAGGGGTTCCAATGGAAATCTTTGTAGTAGCAAACTCTACTTATATTTCTTTCAATAGGCTTGTTTAAACTTAGGTGAGAATCACATTATGAGTAATCAATTTCTGTTGTCATCCCTTCCAATATATCTGGATTAGCATGCTGCTGCTAATGCGCTTTTTAAATTTTAAGTGATGAGTTGGCAGCTAGCCTTCATTTAGTGAACTCCTTATTCGTTGACAGAGGTTCAAGCATGAGCTTGAAAGGAATCAATATACAAAAGAAGCTTTAGCTGCCAACTGCTACAACCACAGGCACTGTTCAAATTTAACCCTATTTCACAAAACAGTAGACTTCAGACTATCATTAAATTTTAAAACCCCTTTGAGGTTTTTAAAATTAATCTTTCGGCAAAAGCTTTAATTCGTGTTGTCTAAAAACTAAGCTATTCAGGGCAGCTCCATTGGTGTCAAACATTTGTATAGTTCACCAGAGACAGGTAGACTCTTTATACTAAATATCACGGAGTGCCATTCTGTGCCAAATAATTTTATTGTCCTAAGGGATCATCTATTCCAACAGCTGCAAGCACTTGACATATAGGCAGGTGCTTAGTTTGACTATACACATTTTTGTTTTTGTTTTTGACCAGAGTCTCTTCAGATATGAACTCTCAACTTCAATACCATCTCTACCTAACTAGCATCTCCTGGAATTTAAGTTTGTGACTTGTGAATATCACTGGAAATTCTAGTCCTGCATATAAATACAGAAAAGAGGGAGAACATCTTTGGTCAGTCAGGACTAACATTGTTTTCTGGTATAAATTTTAATATTGCATATAGAGTGAACTAATCGGGATTCATTAATTAAATATGTCAGCCATAATAACTTGCATATTTAGTTTATTGTTTTTATTGTATTAAATTTAGGACTTTTTTGCATTTTATTATGTTGTCAAGAATATTTCAAGAAGTTCATGGAAAGTTTAAAAGATAATATACATTTTCTGTGAATGATTTTTTAAAGACCATTGTATAACTTAGCCTTAAATTTAAAAACTTGAGATTATAAAGTAAATTGAAAGTATGTCATTATAAAAATTAGAGGAAAACTATGAAAGGAAAGAAAAGGAAGGATGGGAGTAAGGGAGGGAAGGAGGGAGAGTAGGATGGGAAGTATCATTATACTCTTAAAACTATATATATCAAATATTTGAAATGTGATCCCTTTATATAAATAATTTAAAAAATAATTTACAAAATTAAATATATAAATTAGCTTATATATATAAAACAATAATTTTAAGCTTTTTTATTATTTATGATAAAGAAGGGGAGAGAGAAGGAGGGAGAGAGAGAGAGAGACAGGCAAAAGAAAGTTCCCATTTGCAGTTCACTTCTCAATTGCCTGCAATGGCCAGGGCTGGGCCAGGGCAAATGCTGGAGTCAGAAACTCAACCAGATCTTCCATGTGGTCTACATGAGCAGGAAGCTGGAATCCGGAGCAGAGCTGAGACATGAATCCAGGTGCTCTGTTATGGGACATAGGCACACTAACTGGTGTCTTAACTACTATGCCGAACAGCCACCCCTAGTTAGCTGTGTTTTTAATGACTATTGCATGAATTATCCTAAACGGCACCAGATATCAACTTCACTGAATCGTCCAAAGTAATTTGTTTCATCTTATCTGACCTGAGGTTCTGAAGGAAATATTCATTCTTATTTTGACGGACATGAAATAATATAAAATATCTAGGCAAAACACTGCTATCATTACCACTTGTTTCCCTTCTGAGAGCTCAAATTTTCAGAAATTTCTTGCCATTTTAATGCCAAAGCAGTATATCATATTCAAATTGTATTTTTGGAGGGTTTTTTAAAAATTTTGTTTGTTTGTTTTTTAGTGTTTGCTAGCCTTTTTTGATTTCTTCGATCCCTATTGTGTATTTTCCCCTCAATCCTGGCTATACTTCTGTATGATCGAGGAAAAAATGCCAAGAAATTCTGCTACTATACAATAATAGGTCCATTTTGAGTAAATTCAATGCACTGTTGGAATATCAACAGTTGTTTAAAAAAATTTCAGAAGTATTGTATTCTAGTGAATTGAGTAAATAAAAACTGTTCAGATATTTGCTTTAATAATTAAATACTTATTTCCAGAAAGTCCTATGTTTTCTAGAAGTATTTTTCTATGATACTTCCAGAATTGACTGCTTTTGGAGCAGAACTATCATCCCACTGAGGATTTTCCACACTGTTACTCTCCTGGAGAGAGGAGAGGCTACGTTTATACCTAAGGTAATTAATTTGCGTGTACACATCAACAGAGCAGGTATGCTTCTGCTTCCAGTCATGTGTGCACCGTAAAACAGAACCAGAAATTCTTTCAATTGAAGAGCACTTTAATTTTCAAAAATAGACGACCACAATTCCTTTCTAAAACTGCAGTCTTGGATCACAAAGTGTTAAAAAATCTGTTGATTGGTATTGCAATCAGGGGGACAGGCAGGAGGAGCCACTGGCATGTGTGTTGAAGATAAGAAATCCTAGGTTGAGAGTTAAGTTTCTATTGAAGAATTTTTTAAACTCCCCTTACATTTAACCAATAAAACAAAGGGGATATTCCAATGTTGCCTGTTCTGTGGAGTTTCTTGTACATTTTACTTACGGTAGTTTTCAATTTTTTTTCACATGAGAACATCGAAGCAAATCTGGTTTCAGAAACAAAGGACTTATCCATTATTCTAATAACAATGTTTCATGTACGAGAATATTATTATTCCCCTTCTTACAATAGTATTTCTAACAGAAGATTCAATAATAGCAATTGAATTCAAGATTAAGGATCACACTTTTCTAAATTCTTGTTGTCAAAGTATGTTTTAGCTAAGTGATATTTTTGTCAATTTATACAGTTTAAAAATGTAATGATAATGATTACTCCAAGCATGATCTAGAATAAAAATCATCTTGTAGCAAATGGCTGTTGGGAACTTAATTGCAAAATGTGTACATATGCAGTCAGTGTGTAAATACTGAGAAGAGCATCCAGTAACACCATTTTCCAATGGATACATGGAAATACTTTTGCTTCTGTTCTATTGTAATCTGTCAATAGCCTATGGCTCAAAGTAAGTTTGTTCTTTAACAAATAGATATTTAGTCTGTACTTTGTGTACAGGGTAATGTCAATAGTAATTAAGAAACTAAGCAAAGCAGGATATTGCAGTCACAGATGAGTCACCAAAATATAATATCAAATGGAGAAATCATTAATTAATTCATTGCTTAATGTATTTGCATGAAAGAAAGATGCAGGATTCCCATTGTGTGCAGAAGGGAGGCTTGAAACAAACCCTCCCCTTTTATTTTTGGACATTTTCTAAAAGACTGGAGGACTTGTAAATCTCCACTCAGTAGATATCACTGTTGCTGATTTGAAATCTTATGTGAAATATTTAGGTTTGGGTAGCCTCTAATGATGATCTGGTAGCTAAAATTGCCCAAGTAAGAGTGGAATATGTTATCACATTCAGATCTGTTCCTGACACTTCTCACAGTACATAAAGTAACATAGAAATTAAACCAGCAAAAGTCTTTTAAGGAAATTTTATTTCTTACATCCCAGTAGAAAGATAGCTCCCAGAAGACACCAATATATAAAAATTTAAGGGGGCCAACACTGTGATGTAGCAGGTAAAACTGTCACCTGCAGTGTGGCATCCCATATGGGCTACCTCGAGTTGCAGCTGCTCTACTCTGACCCAGCTCTCTGCTATGACCTGGGAAAGCAGCAGAAGATGGCCCAAGTCCTTGGGCTCCTGCATCCATGTAGGAGACCCAGAAGAAGCTCCTGGCTCCTGGCTCCTGGCTTCATTTTGGTGCAGCTCCGACCGTTGTGGCCAACTAGGGAGTGAACCAGTGGATGGAAGATCTCTCTCTCTGCCTCTGCCTCTGTCTCTGCCTGTCTGTAACTCTGCCTTTCAAATAAATAAGTAAATCCTTAAAAAATATGCTAGGAACTTTAATATCTTCAAAGCCTTTATCCAAGGCTACAACCTGTATCTCTTCACAGTATTTAAAATTAAATTATTCAATTTGATTACAGCTTGGACAGCCATCACTGATGGAAGTGGGTATTTATGTCACTGGCACATAGGATAGGAGCATTTGTGCATGAGCCCTGAGGAGGTCACTAATTTTTGAACCTGAATGTTGTTCCAACTTTTTAGTGTTGATTGACATGTGAGATTAAAAACTTCTGAGAAAGTACAGTAATCACAAAAATATAATTCTAAACTATCTTTTTAAAAAAGCACTGACTCATTTGTGTACTCTACATAAGAACTTATCTGGTAAATGCTATTTAAAGAGAGGAGGGCAGTCTCTCTGTATAAGTTAAAAAGAAGTTAGGTTATAAAAATTAGGTAATACATTATCTTTCCATTTTCTTTTGATTAAGAAGTGCATTAGGTAGGTTGTTACGGCAAAGTAGTTCTGCTGATCAAGTGTTTGGGTCCCTGCCACCCTCATGGGAAACCTGGATGAAGCTCCCGGCTCCCGGCTCCCTGGCCATTGCAGCCACCTGGAGAGTGACCCAGCAGACAGAAGAGCTCTCTTTATCTCTAGCCCCCTCTCTCCCTCTCTCTGTAACTCCGACTTTCAAATAAATAAATACATCTTTACAGAAAAAAAAAAAAAACCTCTTCACTCCATCTGACGTGACAGGCACATAAACCATTCTGCTAAGGTTTGTCGCTGCAGGAATTCCATGTTTGTGAGCTTCATGTCACAGAGGCTCTAGGTACAACACCGTGTGCAGGCTGATTTTTCTTTCATTGTTCTCTATTACCTGTGTTTCTTTTTACTCTTTCTTTCTTTCTTTCTTTCTTTCTTTCTTTCTTTCTTTCTTTCTTTCTTTCTTTCTTTCTTTCCTTCCTTCCTTCCTTCCTTCCTTCCTTCCTTCCTTCCTTCCTTCTTTCTTTCTTTCTTTCTTTCTTTCTTTCTTTCTTTCTTTCTGTCTCTCTCTTTCTCTCTCTTTCTCTCTCTTTCTCTCTCTTTCTCTCTCTCTCTTCATTTCCTGACCTTTTTTTGGCTCATGAAAGAAGGTTTTTACAAGACCATGTTTGTTCTATTTTGTTCTTCACTGTAAAGGTTTCTTCTCACTCCTTGTCCTGGGTCTCCTTTCAAGACTGTGCTCCTGAGGCCGACGCTGTGGCACAGCAGGTTAACGCCCTGGCCTGAAGCGCCGGCATCCCATATGGGCACTGGTTCGAAACCTGGCTGCTCCACTTCCGATCCAGCTTTCTGCTATGGCCTGGGAAAGCAGTAGAAGGTGGCCCGGGTCCTTGGGCCCCTACACCCACCATGGGAGACCTGGAAGAAGCTGCTGGCTCCTGGCTTTGCATGGGCTCAGCTCCAGCCATTGTGGCCACTTAGGGACTGAACCAGTGGATGGAAGACCTCTCTCTCTCTGGCTCTACCTCTCACTGTAACTCTGTCTTTCAAATAAATATAATAAATCTTAAAAAAAAAAAAGACTGTGTTCCTGACAGAAAATCTCTTTGAGGAGATCTGTCCCCAGAGGACTGAGAGCCCAGCATTTCCTTTTCCCTACCAACCCTGGCTAAATGTGGTTGTACATTTTATTTCCACATATGCTAGAAAGCTCTCAATGTTACAGCTATTGATTATGTTTTTAAAAGATTTAGAAATTAGGAGCATTTAATTTTTACTCATGTGTTCATGGTTTCCTGTGCTTTTCATTCATTTATGTAGATCAAAATTCCATCTGATATCTGTTTCCTGTTAGAAAGAACTCCTTCAACATTTACGATAGTGCAAGTCTGCTGGTGATACATTTATTCAGTACTTAAACATTTATTTATTTTCATTTCATTTGAAAGAGAGACACAAGAGGAGAGAGACTGGGGTCGAGGGGAGAGAAACAGAGGGAGATTCTCCATTTTGTTGGTTACTCCCTGAATGCTCACAACAGCCAGGGCTGAACCAGGCCAAAACCAAGAGACCGGATTTCCACCTGAGTCTCCTGCACAGGTGGCAGGGACCTAAACTCTTGAGCTGTCCTCTGCTGCTTTTCAGGGTGCACATCAGCAAGAAGCTGGATCCAAAGCTGAGTGTCTGGGTCTCAAACCAAGCACCTCAATTTGGAACACAGGCATCCCAAACGGTGACTTAACTGCTGTGTCACACGCTTGCTTGTGTTTACTTTTCATAAATTTTTTTAAAAAATCACTTTTTTGGTATTCATTTCCTGAAGATTTTTTTTTCTGGGTATAGAATTCTAGTTTGAGCACTTGTGCTTTTCCTTTCAGAATTTTAATGGTGCTACTCTGCTGTTTCTGACTTTCATTGTTTTTGTGGAGTTTCTTGTCCCCCTTATTTTTGTTTTTATCTGATTTCTCTTTGCTGACAGCTTTTGTTTTTCTTATTGTTGGTTTTAAGCAATTTTATTATGTTGTACTTTGAGATAATTTTCTTGCTTTTTTTTAAAAAAAATATTTATTTATTTGTTTGAAAGTTAGAGTTACACAGAGAGAGGAGAGGCAGAGAGAGAGAGGTCTTCCATCTGCTGTTTCACTCCCCAATTGGCCACAATGTCTGGAGCTGTACTGATTCAAAGCCAGGAGCTAGGAGCTTCTTCCAGGTCTCCCAAGTGGGTACAGGGACCCAAGGACTTGGGCCATCTTCTACTGCTTTCCGAGGCCATAGCAGAGAGCTGGATCAGAAGTGGAGCAGCCAGGACTAGAATCGGCGCCCATATGAGATGCCGACAGTCTAGGTGGCTGCTTTATCCACTACACCGCAGTGCCGGTCCGCTAATTTTCTAGCTTTTTGAAGAAAGATTTATTTGAAAGGCATAGCTATAAAGAGATGGAGTGACAGGAAAAAGATCTTCCATTTGCTGGTTCACTCCCCAAATACCTACTGCAGCCCAGGCTGAGCCAGGCCAAAGCAAGGAGCCAGGGATTCCATCCAGGTCTCCCATGTGGGTAGCAAGAGCCCAGCTACTTAGGCCATGTTCTGCATTGGCAAGGAGCTGGATAAGAAGCAGAGCAGCCGGATCTCAAACCAGTGCTTTAATATGGGATGCCGGCATTGAATGCAGCAGCGTAACCCCACTGTGCCAGGACACCGGCACCCAAGATCGTTTTCTTAATATTTCTTTTACTTGGCATTTTGAACTTCTTGGAACTGTGTCTATAATTTTCATTGAACTTGGAAAATTGTCTGCCTTATTTCCATGCTCCACTCATCTCTCCCCTGCCCGTTTGAGGACTGCCATTACACAGATGTGAGACATCTCTATGCTTCCTCACTATTCACCACTGCTCTGGTCACTTTATGCAGTCTTCCTTCTTACTGGGATGTTCTTGGAAACAATTCTATACTTTCAGATTTGTTAGGTGGGCCTAGAATGTCCTGTAGTCTAAGGCTAGTTTTATCTTCATATTGAGACAACACTCTAAAAGTGATATATTCTGTGGATTAAAAGGCTTTTCAATTCTGACTGTTGAGAACAGAGGTATTTTCAGTTCTTTGTATGATACAAGAGTCAAAAGAGGTAATTTTCGCAGTGTCTGTTAATTTCTTCACATTTATGACTTGGTTAGTACT